TTTTAAATAATTTTCTTTAAATAATAATAGGTACAAATTATAGAGAAAAAAAAAGAAAAAAATTTAATTGGGTCAACTCGTGGGTTGACCCGTGACCCATGATGGGGTTGACCCGTGACCCATGATGGACGGGTTAAGGTCTGCCTTCATTGACCCGTGACCGTTTTAATCCAACCCGTTTTGATCTGTTACCCGTTCTGACCCGACCCTAATCCGACTCAATCCGCCCGTTTGCCAAGTCTACTTATAGAATATGCTATTTATAAATATTAATTATCAAGATGGTACGGTGATCAATTTTAGTCTAAAGTTGGAAATAACTAAAATGGTATTAATGAAACGTTGATGATCCGGAGTGTATACATAAAGGTACTTTCAAGCTCAGATTGGCAATTTTTTTTTTTTTAACTAGTTGGAAAAACTCATTTTCTCATCGCCTTGTATAAAATTTATTACTTAGGATGACCTTGGGGGTTGGACTCATGGTAATGTCTGTTACAAATTAGGGATCTCCAAGGTTGTGTCCACTGAATGATCTTCTATAAAGTTTAGCTTTTTTTGTTTTTTTAAACTAGTACAATTGGGGGATCGGAAACTGGCATTGTAAGGCTTGAATCTTGGATTTTTTAGGTATCACCACTCTTATTCAAAGCAATAACACTTAAACTTTGGGGTTGACCTCTTTGTCTTTGTTATAATGTGCTTTGAAGGAGAGATATGCTTTGAGGTAGTTCTTTCTATAATGTCATGTATAATAATTATACATTTATACTTAATTGAGTAATGAACTGTTAACCATCTAAATTATTTATTGTAAATTTCCTTTCAATTAAAGTAAAGGGTTTTAGATTTTAATGGCATGACATTTATATAAGTAAGATGAGTTAAAAAATAGAAAAGTGGTACTTTCTATTGTGCAATCTAAAATCATAAAAAAGGAAAAAAAAAAAAATTAGTAATGAGCTACTAGAGTCAATCGCTGAGATCAAGGATAAACACTTTAATTAATACTTGGCTCAACTCGACTCATTTACGGCCGTAACATGGAGAGCACGTCCATCAGGAAACTCAATGCCACACAATTTGCACCACGTTGGCTGCTCTATTATCTCACCAATCTGTGCAAGCTTTAACCGGTCTTGTTCTTTCATGTGCGTTTGTCCTGCTAAATGAAGCTTCATCAGGGTCATCATTCATGCACCAAATTCTACACAAACTGCACCACTTTCTACCTCCCTGGTTTTCTACTAAACAGTCATCCCGGTGTCTTTTCTACTGAACTCCTATTTTTGTACTTTCAAATGGTGCTTCTTACTACTTATATGCTGCTTATTGTTAAAGAGACCTGAACATGGCACTTGACAGACTTCATAGAACAAGTTATTTGCTTGAGGCTTCAGCATGTCATCATTGGTGAATGATTGCAGTCGTTGAGGCTGCAGAAATTGTGGATCACCTGATGGTTCTGATCGCTTTACTCCCGAAATACTAGGAAATGAACTAGACCCTGGCCTTGAAGAAGCATTGCCACTTGGAAGTTCTTGATTCCTTGGTGGTGCCGGTCGCTTTACTCCAGAAAGGCTAGGATTTGAATTTGAAATTCAAGAAGGATTTGATAGCCAGGGTGATGATCCGCTAGAGCTTGATGCAAGATCATGCCTATAATTAAAGTCCCCCACAGATTATCCTTGTGGACCTTCTGGGGTTTTCACCAATTTGCGGACTATGAGTGACAATACACCTAATATTAGGAAGACCAGTGTAAGAAACAAGAACACCAATAACA